ACGGACGGGGACGACGATGACGGACGGACCTCAATTAGCCATAGAAAATTGCCAGTGATGAAGTCTGAGATGAATGATGAGCTAGTGATGGCTTCTGAGATCATCTGCTGTGTTGTGAAAAGATTTTTGTCGGAAGAGTGATGCTATAATTCCCTTTGCTACCCAGTTAAACCTCCATCTGCTCCAACGAGTTGTTCAGTCCCTTTCTATGCTCTGAGGACAAATAGATACTCTGCACTGTGGAAATGCTGGTGTCTCCATTTTGTGCGTCTGAGTATTCTGAATTAAGGAAGATGAAGATCCCAATGTTCAAGTTAAGTGTAACTTTCGGTATGAAAACTTCATCTCTGTGAAGCATAGTAAGTTGAGCGTAGCTGTGCGTGAGATATTGAAAGTTGGGTATACGGTAAGTCTTACCTAATTTCATATGACTGACAGCATTTCATTATGAAATTTCTTGAATCCTTTTGTGACAAAACCTAAACTATCTTGTTCTGTAGGTAAGGCTGAGTAGATCTATGTAGAGACTAACTTAGGTAAGATGCTAGGCTTGTGGTAGGAGTCGATTAGATGCTGCCAGCTGTTAAGTGTTTAATAATTAAGCAAAGTACACAAGCAGGCATTTTAATAGAAAAAGATGGGTTAAAGAAACTATGCATCTAAAATTCTACCAGAAGGGAGAATTGTAACTCTTCAGTAGTTGTTGTTCTTGACCCCGTCAAACTGTTTACTGATTGCTTGTGCAGACGATTTCGAGCATTGAGAAATTCTTCCTGTTGAGAGAAGCTGCGCTGTGCTGCCGGGGCTCTCATCACAGAGATGCCATGTTAGAGGGCTTCAGTAGTTGTTGTTCTTGACCCCGTCAAACTGTTTACTGATTGCTTGTGCAGACGATTTTGAGCATTGAGAAATTCTTCCTGTTGAGAAAAGCTGCGCTGTGCTGCCGAGGGCTCTCATCACAGAGATGCCACGTTAGAGGGCAGCTGCAGAATCGAGCTTGCACAATGCCCTGCTTGTGGAAGAGTTGTTTGACTTGCTTGCTGGCCGGTTGCATCATTTCTATCCCCTGGGTTTGGAGGGAAGTTGGCTGCAGATGAGAATTTCATCTGGGCTTTTCCTCTGCCCATTGCAAGGAAAATGTGGGATGGGGTCGGCGGGCAGGTGGCGGAGCACCGAAGAGAGGGCATGGCCTCTTCAGGGAGGCCACCCGTTCATGAGCCCACCCATGCTCAGTTACTCGTCCTGTTGGTAAACCGCCTAGTGTTGTAAAACTTGCATTTTAAGGCTAGATTAAATACCACAGCTCTTGTCCAAGAAGTAAAAGGATGAGAAAAAACTCAATTTGGCAATTGTTTTGCCTTGACAATTGCAATGGCATTTGAAACTGATGTGCTATGACTGCACTAGTCAGAGTATTTATGGGACTTTCTGCTTTATGTAGCGAGTTGTCTATTGGATGAACAGAAATGAGACAGCTTTATTTTTTGAAATGGCTTTCTGTTTGAAAACCTGTTCCTTTTCTGTTTTGACAGTGGAGAAAACTTTTCTTTACGACTCCCACATAATATAAATAACGGGTTGTGTATGCACATACCCTTTGGGTACTTCTGGACAACTTGAGCTCAGCTTTTGGCCACCTGGGACTTGTATTCTAAACACTTGTGAAAGCCATTCCTCCCAGCCCTTGCCTTCTGTCCTATTCCTCCAGGGAGAGGGAGAGTCAGTAAACTTGGAGGATTTTGATTACGACTCCTCTGCCATACAGTATCTGGTGCTTTGAGTTACCATAGCAAGTACAGCTGGAGGAGTCACGCTGTTTCCCTGCCCCAGTGTTACCCTTATTTGATTAATTTATTTCTTCCTAGTCACTTTAAGCTCTCTGATTCTAAAGAGAGTCAAAAGGTTAAACCATAATCTTCTCCAGTAAGATTTTGAAAATGCTTTTTTATCTTAAAATCACCGGTCTCCATCAATTTAGTGAACTGCTTCCAGCAGACTTTGCCTTGCTTCCGCTCATGACGCTTCTCCTTTTAGTCTCAACAGATGTTTATTTTCATAAAACTTGAGGACGGTGGATACACTAAAAGTACCATCGTGGAGGATGCTACAAGGAAAAGGTTAGCAAACTTAAAACCATTTGGCTTTTGTTCCAAATGAGAGTATATTAGAGATGAGCCTTTTTTTTGAGGTATGCACTCTTGAGTAATCAGTTAATCAAGTCTTTGCTGCTGGTGTCAGGCTCTCTCATCCTTTTAGGTTGAAGTGTGCTAGCGGCGTATGCATATCTGGACCGCAGCATCTCCCCGCGTCCCCCTCCCTGCAGTGCTCTGAGATGGAGTTAGCACACCAGTAAACGTGGTTGCATGCGGTTCCTTGGCCCCTGCCTCACAGATGATATGTTTATATTGTAATTTTGTTTGCAAATGTTGCCTGATCTTTCTGGGGAAAGAGGAGATAGGAGCTAAATTGTCAACTTAATTTTCCTCTCTGTCCATGAGTATAGGTCAAAGGCCTGGAATAAAACCTGTGGGACAAAGTTCAAGCCAAGCTGTTGCTTATGCGGTCCTGCATGCTTCTTGGGCATGAGCTGGGACAAGGCAGTGGGGTGTTAATGACTTAGGTTTTAAATTTCTTGTGTCTCCTTTGATTTAGTGGGATACTGTTGCATGCGCTTATCCCAAGGGGGTACATGGCTGAATCCAAGACTGGAGAGCTTCCCTGTGGCTCATGTAGGAAAGCAAGCATCCTCTTGTGATCACAAACACATCATTACTGGAAAGCTTGTTACAAAGCTTGGAGGAATTTAGGAGGAGAGTGTTGGAACACTGGTTTTGTCTGGTTTTGTTTCCTCCTTTTTCACTGTTAGGAGGAAAGCAGTAATTAATACAGCTGGATGTTGAATGCAGCATTTTCTGTTGGCTCCGACTTCTTTCTAGTATTCAGTTTCCAGACTTAGCACAGACAGATGTAGCAGTCAAGTCCTTTGCTTAGTTTAGGATCCTTCTTAGGAGGAAAAATGTTCAATGATGATCTGTGTTTAACTTAGCTCTTCTTATCTTGAAGATATAACAGCCTAATACAGGAATAGTTAACTTTGTTTTAAAATGGGAGTGCTTAATGTGCTGATATTGGCGAAGAATCTGGAACATGAACTCTGGGTAGCAACTTCATAAGCTTATAGCTGAAGAAAGAATAGCTTGAAAGTTCATTGACTCTCTAAGTAGTGTCCTAAATACACCGTTTCAGAAAGTTGCTGGGATGCATAGTCTCAGGTCTAAGTCAGTCCTTATTAGCATGATTTTAGATGTGTGTGGTTGCTTTTCCCCCCTGCTGTCCTTGCTGGAGCAACAGTTTAAAGTGCAGTGTTCTTTGTAAACTCATGCACAGTGAGTATGACACCTTTAGTTGTGCTGTTAGGTGTATCAGAAAATGGTATCCAAGAACTTGATTTGAGGAAAAACAACTCTCAAAAGCTTATGTACTTTTATGATGCTTGTGTAACTTTTTCTTCCTTCCTCCTGGACAAGTAAATCCTGGAAGTGTTGCAGTTAATGAAGGAATTGCCTGCAGATGTAATTATAAATATTAAGCCAAACTTCCCTTGCGTCACTTTCATGCTTGTACTTTGTCTGAGTTGCGATTTTTTAGAATAGCTTTAAGAAAATGACATCCTAAGTATGCTGACAATAAAAAGTCGAATATGAACAGGTCAAGAGCCTTGTATGATGAAGCAAGAATGGGGGGGTGTGAAGTGGAAAACTGTTTTTTAGTATCTCCTGAAGGAATGCTTAGGAAAGAACTTTTTCTATGGTGGAGTATAAACATAGCGTGGTCTGAGCACTGCAAGTAGGCAATCTTTGTCCAAAGCAATTAATTCCTGAAAATAATTTTACTATATAGTTCAACCACAACATTGGTTACTTATATGATATCATTGAAAGGCTTCCACTGAGTAGGATGGTCTCGAGTCTCAATTTTAACTTGAAGTTGTATTTTGTTTGTGCTTCTTGCTGATGAGAAGAGTATAAAGGAGCACGAAGAATATGCTCATGTCCAAAAGCGACTAATGCACTTGGCAATCTTTGTAAGAGTGAATGTGTCCGGTAAACATAATGTAATAGGATCTAGTAGATTCCCAAATGTAGAAGATGTGCTGTAACGGAAATTGTGTTAGGACTTCAGTAATGCTTTGAAAAGTTTTTAGTTGCAGAGCTTTAAAGGTGGGTTTTATGGTCAATGTATGTGATTCACCTTTACCATCTTGTAAAGTCTTTCAGGACTAAATTAGTTTTCATATTTTCAGTCTGCTACTAAGTGCAACATTTTGCATTGCTCTTCGTTGGGGGGGTGTATGATCAGATCAGCATAACTGAAATAGGGAACGTTGTCTGCAAAAGTAGCAGTTAAATTGCTTTCAAAGGAAAAAAAATCCAATGATACCCCTTCGATAGCTGTGCTTAAAACACAGCATTCCGTACACGATCTGTTGTAGCGTGTTATTAAGAAGATTAATAGGAAAGTATATTAATCTCAAGAATTTTGAGTTCATCCTTTTGTCATGGGGAATATGTCTAATCTCCTAGTCAAACCACATTTGGCTAGTTCTATTCAAGTTCCTAGTTTTCTGTGCAATGACTGAAAATTATTTCTAGTTTTCTTCGCTTATCAACAGAAAAACCTTCCAAGTATAGCAGTTTGTTAAATTTAGTCTTATGAGGATTGAACACTGCTACTTTTAGCTTTGTTTTAAACAGGAGGAGGCGCTTAAATTATGCTATGTTAAAACAAAATTGGAACACATGCCGAGTAGCTTTTCCACTTTATTTTTGATATGTTCATGAGACCAAGTTACTAGGAATAGGCACTTCATTTAAAAATGGGTCAGTTGTCATGTATAGGTAGTTTAAATGAACCATGCAAAGCTCATACTGACTCTTAGGAAAACATTAGTGTATCTACTAGTAAGTGTAAGGTGATAACAGTCTGAAGACTTGTTTCAATACAGATTATCTTTTCCTTGCTTTACAGGAAAATCTTCACTGACGATTCAGTTTGTGGAAGGACAGTTTGTTGATTCGTATGATCCAACCATAGAGAACAGTAAGTAAATAACTGACAAGCTGCCCTTCTGTACCCAACTAACTTTTGTCAGAAGGCATTGTGGTTATACATATTACTTATGTGGGCATTTACATATTAACGTTAAAGCTCGTCACTTAACTGTTAGGTCGTCTTATTCTTTTAAACCAATGCTTACCAAGCTTACAGTATTGCAGCATGGAAATCAATGTGTGCATATTTCTCCAAACAGCTAAACTGTCTTTTAACACAAAATGAAGGAAAACCTAATCAATCTGGCTAAAACGCATCTCCTTCTCGTATTATGTGTATGTTGTTGGACATCTGCTTCCCCTAATATAGTCGGGGCACTTCAAATTAAGTATGTCATACCTACATGAAAATGTGCCACTGTATGCAAGTGTTCCAAAGTCTAAAATGTCTCATTTGATCAGTATATCCAGATGAACACAAAGCCAGCAATACCAGTCAGGGCTAAATGACTGCCTTAGAAGGTAGACATGCTGTGGCCATGATAACATGATAATCTTTTAAATTACTAATTTCCAGCTGCTTGATAACAACCTTGGTACACAATCAGGTTGCTGCAAGTACTAGGTAACTGACTTCTCAAGGGTCTTTTTTTTCTCTTAGCAGTTTTTTTAATATTAGTGCCTTTGTGAATAGCTAGCATAGCAGGTGAGTAAAGATACTAATACTAAAAATGCTGCCAAGAGCAACAAGTCGCTTCAGAGGCGAGTTACCCGGTATTCGTTACAATCCCAACCACTTCCTTCTGAGCTAGCGGTGGTCATAAAGTACTTGAGCAACTGTGGTGCTAGGCTGAGTAACTTGATTGTATTGACTCACTTAAATCATGTGGCAAATAAAACTTTGATTTCATGATCGTAACTCTGGAGTTCTTGTATATTAATGACTTCTGAAATGCAGTGGTAGCACACATTTTTACTGTTTAGAACTTGTGCAGTGGGATGTTAAACCTGTGTGATGCTTTGGAAGTTTGAATGAAATAATCAGCAGAACAAGGTTTCTTTTGGAGATATATGGTAATAATTATAAATCAGTAGCTATCAGGATATCTTACTCAGGATGATTTTATTGCTTAGAACTAAAATTCAAATGCTACTTTTTGAGAAGCTCTAAATTTGCTTTCGTGAGTCATGGTGGATAATTTGCCCCTTGACCTGAATGATCTGTTAGTCCTTACACAGATGTCATTAATATTTACGCTTTTCATAATGCCCTTTTACTTTATTAGAATTATAAATAAGGTTTGTTTTGAATTAAAGCTGCTAACAAAATACTGGGGAGTAAGTTTCTGTATTTACATCTTAATACCTGCTGGGACAGGTCATTTTTCACTGTCTGGGCTATATAAATGCAAATTATTTGAAGTAATCTTTTAGTTTTATGCAGGTATATGGGAATTAATAAAGCTTGAGACATGGAGTGAAAGTCTCTCCAAAATACTGAACCTGTATCTTGTTTTAGGATTTTGACACCTTGGTACAAGGTTGGCTTGTTTCATCCTTTATAAGCTCTTGTCGTCCACAGAAGCCTATTGTCTGTAGCTGCTGTTAGTAACTCCGTAGTTGTATGTCTCGCACTGGTAGCATTTCTTAACTGTATGAAACTACACTTTGGATAAATTCTGCTCTTAACTTGACTCTTGTGGTCTGTGCTGCTTGCTTGATCTGAACTCTAAACATTGAGCGTGTCATGGCCATGAAGAAGTTGTTGGACAGGGGCATCTTGAAAAGGCTTAACTTCTCGCTTGATTTATTACTTGTTTGGAAAACAAACAGCATTATTCATTTGGTGAAAGTCTTGTGGTCTGTGGCATGGCTAGAGGAGTTTTCTTTCTGAAAGGTAAAGAGTTGCAGGGCCCTTCTTGCATCAGAACATGTTGCTGGGAGGTAAGGGTTGAAAACATAGAAGATAATGCCCTGAGGTTCAGAACAGTGGGAAGTCTGTCCCATCTTTAAGCCCTGGCAGGTCTGATAGAGGGAATGCTTTTAAAATGCTTCTGTGAAGAATGGAGGAGAAAACACATTCTAATTTAACACTAAAATGTAAAATACATTGAAGATACCTTTTTTAAGACAGATGTAAAACTAGTTTTGATGGGATTAGTATAACATCATTGTTTTGACTTAACTTCTTAATCTTTTTAAAATGTTTTTTCTAGATATAAATCTTCACTCAGTCCAGTCTTTTGACACTCCCAGCTATATGTTTCTGATTCTGTGCAGGGTCATAAGACACAAAGTATGTAATCGACTCTTTTATTGTTTTCCTAGCTTGTGATTTGAAATCTGGTTGACAGTGCTGGCAAAGGGAGTTGAGAAGTCCAGGTTCCTATGCTGGGGTGGTGTTGGAGAACGTTGTACTTTTCCAGTGTTTTGTGGCAGGTTGTAAAACCTTTTCAGTTTCATCTAGTGATTGGGTCTACTTTAGTGTCACAAAACTTGGAAATGAAAAAACCACAGGGTAAAGAATAGTCTGACTTATGTGATTTCTGTTTTATCTCCAGAAAATTTTTGCTGCTCATTTACTACCGTATTATACCAGCACTGATGAAAGGGTAGAAAGCTCTAGTACTGCTGGTAGCTTAATCTTTATAGTTTTTGTCTTCAAATAATAAAACTTGCGCAAAAAATTGAATGTAAAGCTAAATTGTGTAGAAGGCAAGCTATAGTTAAGGTCTTACAGGAGCAAGTTGCATAACATGTAAGCCTTGAACAATAGGAATAAGAGCTAATATTCTATTAGTTTCATTATTTTAGTGTGAAATTCTCTGCATTCTTTGGAAGTGGTAAAGGGAAAATAAACTACATCAGATTTCACTTAGTGTTTGTTACAGTCAACAGTGCTTCACTGCTGCATTTTCCATTGCTTATATTACATTAGAACCGGAAAAGTTAGTTTATTTAAGTTAATGAGCATGTTGAATTCAGTTGCTTCTACTAAACTTGCGTATCAGGAAGAGTAACTTGTGTTCTGTGGCAGCAGAAGAGGTGAGAGTTAATTGCTTAGCAAAATAGATTTTCCCTTTCTGAATGTCCCAACAGGAGTGACACCACGATGTGTGGCTATTCTTGAGGCAGCCAGGTTGAGAAACTAATGGAATGATTACTTGCGGTAACGTTGGAAAGAGAAGGAAGATCCTTGCAGAGCAGGAGTGTGTGGAGGGAGTCTGTGTGGACACAGAGCTCGATGGGGCTCTAAAGGCAGATTGGCTTAGATGAGCTAGGACCAGAACAATTTAAAACGCAGATTTTACTGGAATAAAAACTAGATTCTTAATTTGGAACTCAAAGCAAATAGGTCAGAAGGAATAGATAATGAAGATGCACATAACTCCATAATATGCACATAACTCCATAAGATGCACATAACGGCCTGCCTGGCCACTTTTTGCTTTTTCTTGCAGTTACCAAGAGGCTTCTAGCACTGTGCCGCAGCTCTGTGATCTTCTTTTCTCCCCTAAACAGACTTAGTAGCTCCCTAAGGAAAGGAACAGTCTTCTCCCAAGGGCTTCCTACCTCCATTCCATGTTTTTTAATACAGTTGTTAGTAGAAGCATATTAGAAAGGGGGAGGGGGCTGGAGGAACCCTACTAGTCAAGGAGGGGATACCCATAGGTTTAAATGGGTCTGCTAGAAGCATCTTTAAGGCTAAACATCTTCCATGCATGTCATGGCAACTGCGCTGGAAGGGTGAAGTATGCTTCCTCCCAGGAGTTGCTCGTGAGCAACCCTCTCAAGGGGTGGAAATGAGGCTTCTGAGGAAAATTAAACCCAGCTCTATCGCATTACACATCAGTGCTGTGAAAGATGTCCTGACAGATTAGTGACAGGCATTAACTTTGGAATAAAGACAAGTAGAAAGGGATGCAGAAGGTAGTAACCGAGGAAAGCTTACAAGGTTGGTTGTACATAGCTACCAGCCAGTAGCTCTATGGCAATGATATTGCACCACTCTCATACCTTTACTCAGTAGCACTATTGATCTAAAAGCCTGTATTTGTATGCCCGGTACTGATATTATTTTTAATCATAATGGCTTGTTTTCACAGCAGCTGTCATTATGCATATGTTGTCATTCAGGTTAGTTTAATTCAAATATACTTAATCTTAGGGTAATGATGATCAGCAGCTGTTGGAGTTGCCTTATAAGTTAGACTTCTGAGCTGTAGCAGCATTCAGGGCTGCATTCTGCATGTAATTTTACCAGAACTTTCTCTGATGGCAAAGTGGCTTTAGTTTCTTTGCAATGCAGCTGTTGACTGCTGCACCCTCAACTGTACGCCTGTGTCTGTTTGGTGCTGTGCTGTTCACTGCAGCACGAAATTCTCCTGGTTTCGGCAGTGCATCAGAGCTAGGAACAATTGTAGGAGAAGGTGGGGATTGCAGCTTTCCTCATATAGCTACACTGGAGTTATGCATTGCAAGGTGTAAGCATGTCCTGTTCTGAGATCTGTGTGCTTCGTGGAGCTAAAACAGGCTTTACCCGTGCTTCAGCTGATGAGCAGTATTTTGCCGATGCTCACATTATGACTAGGAGTGCAGATACTGTTTAGGTCTGCTGAAATCTGTCCTTGACATACCGGGAAGAGCCATCCTGTGCAGTGATCGTATTATTGGTTGTTCGTCTTGCTCCTAGGCACAGCAGAAGGCAGTGTGTCCCAGGATGATACGTGATGGAATTGGAAGTGAAGACTTCCTCTGGATCAAGGGGACCTGTGGATCACGAATCACATTTAGCTGCAGATGATTTCAAAGATGAAATCTTACCAGGAATATTTTTTTAAAAGCTTCAGCAAAGAAAAGGGAGTCATTAATTATGACTGCGCCAAAGCAGATTTGTGTTCTTGCAGTGGGCTGTTCCTAGTGCTGCAAGCCTCTGCACTGATCTACCAGTTCTCCTCACCCAGTCTGTGGTGACTCCTCCACTGTTTCCCATCCCCTGGCTCTGTCACACTCTGCTGCCAGTACCGAGGATGATGATGTCTTTGGGTCTATTCTGGGCTTCTAGAGTAGTCTGGAAAAGCTGCCGTCTGTCTGTGTCCCTTTTTAAATATTAACTCCATGAGGCTCTTGAAGCTACTTTGATTGCAGAGTGCTTTGATGTGTACGTGTCAAGAGACTGGAGAGAGACTGTTACTTTTGATATACCTGTTAATGCAGTATGTCTCCAGATGAGTCTGTTTTCCCTCTGACTTGAAGCAGTGATGCAGTATATAGCAGTGCTGCGTGTTGATGTCCGTTCAGACAAACAATTGCTTCAGTCCCCACCACGGTATTGATCCTAGGCAAAGAGCTGATGTGGATTCTTGCTTCATAACCCTAAAATTTTGTGCAGCAATGACAGCAGCGTCCAGACAGTGACTTGTGAGTGGCTCACACGCGCGTGTGCCAAAGCAGCTTTCTTGGGGGATAGACAGGGTGAGGGTAGGAGCTCTCCCTTTGAGGTTCCATTTCAAATTGCACTTGTCGATATTGTAGTGGAAACTGTAGGTATGTTTTACACAGTTTGTTCAGACATTCTGTGTTAGTTTGCCTTTGCTGTTTGAATTGCTTCTTTTTAAAAAAAGAGCGCTTTGATTTACTCGGGTTGAAACCTCCAGTTTCACATATTTCAGCCCACTTACTCAAGATAATACTCACATTGTGGAGACTTGACAGGGCAACAGGCATTGATGGGGAGGAGGAAAGTTGGCAAACTTCGGCTTCTAGGAGACTGTATAAAACCCAGAAGGCGTAGGCAGGAGACCACACAGCGGAGTCGAGAACATTCAACTTTGCAGCTTTGGGAAGCTGTTGGACAACTTAGGGTATGATGAACAGGTCACTGCAGTGTTAGCTATTTCCCTGCTCATCACTGCAATGAAAGATGAAGCTTCTTAGGACTGTTAGTATTTGGGAAAACTGCCTCAACCAGAAGACAACACAAACTTTACTCAGTATATTAGTACTGTCCAGTAATTGTGTCTTGAATGCAATGCAGAGGCCAAAGCGAAGCTCTGAAGCCAGATTTGCATGCTGTGGTTGGTACATGTAGTGCTGGGTAGTACATTATTCCTACAAGAGCTGTGACACTGTTTGCTTTTGCAGTTGCATAATACAAACACTGAGTAAGATTCTTCAGCTCACAGCACATTGGCATTTCATGAATCCAAGGGAGAGAAGCAATTCTTGTCACTTTTAGGGACTGAATGTACTTCCTGACTGAGGACTAGATGGGCTGGTAGCTACAGCAAATGTGTAGCTCGTTGTTTAGGTTTAGTATATTCATTAAGTTAGGCTCTGTGTGTTTTAACCCTCAAAAATTTTTTTTTAAAATCCAGTTAATTTACGTCATGGTCTTTACATTTAGGAAATTGATCTTGCTAAACTGCTTGGAAAATGGGGAAAATATTCTGTAATAAGTTCAAAGTCAGCTTTGATGCTAATTGTATTTAAGTGTCTTGTGTTACCACAAATTACAGTTGCCTGAAAGTGTCTCAGAAATGTGTGTAAAAACCCTTTTCACCCTTTCCTTTTAAGTAAGTAAAGGAGAAACTGCTGCATCCAATGTGAGAATCTTCTGAAATTTGAAATTTTAAAGTAAATTTCTGAGTTTCGTTATCTGCAATATCCTAAAAGTACAGCTACCTGATCTAGCCTTTTACTGCTACTTTAAAACCTGTAACTAAAGTTCCTTTCCTTAGTGCCTTGGCTGACGATGGCATAGATGAGTGACTTCTGATCCCTTCCTTGTGTATAATTCTGACATGTTTATGTTTTTCTTGTTTGTTCTAGCTTTTACAAAACTGATCACAGTAAATGGCCAAGAATATCATCTTCAGCTGGTTGACACTGCTGGCCAAGTAAGTTATCTATCTTTCTTTGAATCTTTCTTCAGAGTTAAACCAACAGGTATTCATACTCCTCTGGAGCTAAGTTGGTAGTGACCGTGTGTTCAAAGGTGAAGGTTAACTTAAATGATTCTGCCTTGTCATTTAGCTACTAAAGAGCAATGTTTCTGTAGTGTTTATTTAAAGGCTTTGTTTTGGTTTTGTTTGTTTTTCCTGTCTGTTGAGCTGCCTTAGCACTGATGTACCAAAAGTTCATAAGTAGCTTGCTTGATAGTTACTGACTAAACTAGCAGTCTTGCTTTCGATGGAAAATGTCACTTCAATAAACCACGGAGAAGTTTTTCATTACTTTTTTCCTATTTGTGTGCTCCAGCTGCACCACCATGACTTGTATCCATGAAATAGTCATGGGGAGGAGACAGAAATGCATATAAGTAGTACTTACCGGGCTACCAATAAACTACCGGAGTTTGTTTACATTTTAATGTGATGGTTCATACGTGCTTCTGAGCGTTCACATGATGACAAGGAGCGCGTGTCCCGTAGCGTGATCATAGCTTCATGAAGTACAGGTGCTCATTATATAGTGCTGCTTGGCTGAACTTGCACTGCACGTTCCGTGCACAGGAGTGCTCAGTCTTTTGGAAGACTCTGTATTAGGAAAAAACTGAACAGGGACTGTTAAACCCCTGTATTTTTATCCTAAACTTTTTATTGCTTAGATGTTCTTACCTTCCATGATCTCTGATACTATGCCTTTGGGTTTTTCCAAACTATGAGTAGTGTTAAACAATGTTAGTGTTGTAAAACATGCTGCCAGTTCTTAAGACTTTAAAGCTGCAGGACACTTGCTCATAGCTGGGAGAGTATTCAGAAGGGTTGTAACCTTCTAGATATGTTTGATCGTTTTCTTTGAGGAGAGCTACATGACTTAAGAATAACTATGCTGCATTTACGTGGTGTCAGCTTGTGGTGCTAATCAGCAACACTATATCCACTTATAATCTCTCAGAGGTGTCTGAAGTGATTAGAAACACAATACTGGCCACATGTTCTGGGGCAAGATTGATTGGGGAATATTCTCCAGAGGAGAGCGAGGTTGAGAGATGGGCAGGCTGAGAAGCATGAGCAGCAGAGCAAGCTCCATAGGTTTCACTTTGTGCCAATGTAAGCGTAGTTGCCTTACATCTCCAATTGTAGCGTAGTGATAAAAGTAAAATCTCTCTTTGAGGAAGAAATGGTCTTCTGGGAAGGCAGTGTTACTTCACCGGTAACATACCTCTGTTTCTGACGTTTCTTTTCGGGGTTGATTTAACCTTGTACAGTATTGTAAAACCAAAATAACGTATTTCCCAGGCTGTGGTTATTTTCAGATTTGATTCTTCCTGTGAATGACTTGAACTTTGAGTTCTGGCTCACAGGGTTAGAGGGGAGAGATTATATTGGGTTGTGGAGGGTGTGGCTTGGACAGATTTCTTTCTCAAGTCTTAATGATCCATAGGGAGTCCTCGTGTGTATACAGCATAGTAAGAATTACATTGTAGATTTGTTACATACTTGAAAATTTGGCTATGGTTTGAAAAGTTATAGCTATGTTGTTTTGTCACTTGGCAGAGTTCTTAATTTGACCCACAAGTTCCAGGAAGCATAGCAGCTTTTCTTCCTTCTCCTAACAAGCTAAAAATTAAGTAATGAATTAGAAACAGTTGAGGTTATGGCCCTTATTTTTCTTGGTACTCCTCTTCTGTCCCGTGCCTTTTTACCTTTCATGGGTATGTATTCAGATTTGTGTCGTTCAGATCACAGAAAAGGAGCACGAAAGGAAATCTTACTTAACACCGAATTCCAGCTGGGGCAATCCTGAGAAATTCCGGGTAAAGTCAAACAACTACAGAGTTGCACTTTCACCTGTTTTACACCAGACTAGCTCAGATCCCTTCTGCATTGACTTTGGGATTCCATGGCCAACTGAAGTGGCAGTTTGGCATTTCAGTGCAGATGGGGGAGGGCTGCCCTCAGTATGTAGCAATAAAGGCAAATAAGGCCATCTTTTGTCAAGTGTTATTCTTTCAGACTTTTTTGGCTGAATCTGTGAAGTTGATTTATGAAGGACTTTTCCTCATTTGCCAGTTAGGGAAGTTTGATTCCTTTTGGCTGTCTAGATTTAAGCTGCGTGATTGCACTGCTCCATCTGTTCGGTCCTGACAATATACAGAGATGTTATGTGATCTTAAGCTAAAATTAACATCTTAAGCATAGGTTTAAAAATTTGAGAACTTGTACATTAAAAAGTGTGGCTCTTCTCAAAATGGAAATGTTTCCTGGCTATATCTATTAGAACAAGTTAGATTTTTAACATGGGATTCATAGTATTTGTGTTGCATTACCTGCTGTCTGTCAGTTTCATTTACCTATTTGGTCAGTTCCTTTTCTACAGAGGTAATAAATTCAGTTTCTGATGGCTGTTTGGTTTTTTAAATTAAACACCTGTCATATAATGTAAACTTCTAGTTCTCATAAAGCAACTAATAACTACATTGTTGCATCTGTAGTTGATAAGCATTAGTTAGTAAGCTACAGTTTTTCACTTCCTAACAGATCTGTTGGGTAATTTAGATGTGATCGGTGTCACTTGAAATTATGAACTGCTAGATCCTGTCATCAGCTGTTGAACTGAGGAGTTTTAAATGTATCACCAGCGAGATAAGAGGCATAATTGCTAATTAGCGGTAGGACAGAGTGGATGTTTTGTACTAATACAAACTGATAATTAAGCAGGATAAGAGGATTTGGAATAGCTTTAGCTGATCCATAGTCTTAGAGGGAATAAACCAAAAAAGCTGTAGATTAAATTTTAGAGTATACAGACTGACTCAGCTTTCTTTTAATTTGGTATAGATTCCACGTCTGACAGTATGATGAAAAAGCTTAATTCTGAAAATACTACCTATTAAAAAATGGGTGTGTGCACCTCATGTCTTATAAATATGACAAATTTATCTGAAGGTGATCTGCTTAGTATCAAGTTCTGAACTGCGGCAGTAAGTAATTTTAAATGTGATATTCCTTCTACAGGATGAATACTCCATATTTCCTCAGACGTACTCCATAGACATCAATGGCTACATTCTTGTTTATTCAGTCACGTCAATAAAAAGGTAATAAAAATCTGTTGTGTTCTTCTGGTTCGGATATTAACCAGATATATTCTGAGTTCAGTTCTTGCCTCTGCTATATTTTCTTTACATGTGTTTAATTCATTTAATCTCCCTTTCCCTTAGAAGTATAATGGAAGTTAAAATTAACATTTTTTCATAAATTTCCTCTCAAATCCAAATGTCGCAGACACTTTACAGACTAATATGCAAGGTACCATGTAAGAAATGAGATGGTGCTGAACTACATTGTTTTGAGGTGTAAGTGAAAGTACGAAGAATGATTTCAGGAATGAGTTCATTGCTCTGGCATCAGATACAAAGGCAGGCTTAAATATGAACCTAAAGGGCACTGTACATTTATATGAAGTACCCAATTAGTTGCTAGATTGGTCCCTCAGCCTTGTAGCTTGTTACAGTACTGAGATTTCTTTGACTTCTTGTCTTGCGTTGTTCTGGTTAACCATCAGAAATTTTCATATAAATAGCAATATATGACTTTTGGTGAGTAGACTCACTCTTGACATGCTGCAGCGAATAATCTTATTTGAAAATTTTCCCAGCATATCTATTTCATCCTTGCTGTTAGCTGTCCATTCTGACATGAGGACAGAGTCCATCGTAGCTGGAGTCATTCACTTGCAAGATGCATCTCAGCCTTCGTGAGGCTTTGTCATCTTCTGTTATTTTGTCCCTTCTTCTGGTCATCTTGCTTTTTTTAAATACTAGTCATTCTTGCATCGATCTTAATTTTCTAAGATTGTACCTCATCTTTGTTATGACAGCCAAAATAATCCTATTTTCTTAAATTTTTGTTTGAGTAAAATCATAGAGACCTTAGACCTTTCACTCTCATCAAGCAGAAGAGAAATTGATGCTTCCCTTCTACTTGCAAGGAAGCTGATCAGCTTTTTATGACTGTTGAAGCATTCCATGTCTTTTCCTCCGAATTAGACAAAACTGGTCATCTCAAGTGCTCTTTAGTAGACCATCATAAAATACAGGTAAAACAACTTGCCTGTTGGCTCTTCTGTGCTTCTCAAAGAAAAGATATGGTCTGGTTATAAACTTCCGTTGCTTGCAAGGTCTTTAGTCTTGAACAGATTTTCACAGCCCTTCATTCTTTGTTTTCATCTTTAGTTCTGAAGTAGTGAAGAGCAAGCACATGTGATCTGGAGGAAATGCAACTGATGTTAGGCTTTCATGTGTGTCTAGAGATACTAAACTACCTAACTTCCTTTTTTTTCTTCTTTTTTTCCATCAGAGGTTCAGTGTTGGTGCTGAGTAACTTGTATTCTCAACCTTAAGTAGACAATCCTCCGCTCCTAAAGTGGATAGAAAAATGTTCATTGATAAGTGGTACTGTGAGGACAGAAATGTCTTTGACTACAGTCAATGTAGATCGCTTGGAGGCTTCTGCAGCTTGTGGTGTTCCTTGGTTGGCAGCTCTTTTCTAGCTGTTCCAGTTGTTGCCTCATGATACCTTGAGCTTAGCAGCACAGATGAAGAAATGAAACTGTGTTTTCTGTGGTAGCATTCAATCAGTTAAAACAGAAACCAGATTACAGTGAAAGATAGGTTCAGGCTGTAGGGAGATAGTCTTTTCATCAGTGTTTTTGTCTTGATCAATTTATTACAAGTTTTTTTGTTTCTTTAAATTTCAAAGTATCAGTGCTCCTGTCTTGTTCAGTTCCTTATGTTCTCTATCAAGACAGTGTTTAGACAATAGGAAAGATCTTCCACAATACTCTGGTGGCTTGGATGACTTGTCCAGGCAACCAAATTACAGTCACCATCTGTCTTGACTTCTGTCAAAGTGTGTATATTGATCTGAGTATTGATCCAACAGGGGTGAGAGCTTTGACAGCAAACTTAATAGAAACACCCTTTTAAAATGATCATCTTCCCTGTTAATCTCCAATGGGAAGTTTAAATGGGACTTGAGTAAAAGCTAACGCCCTACATTTTCATATTCCCAGGCTCTCAGCAGCAAGGTTACTGGAAGGCTTTTGCTCTAGTTAAGCTTAATTAAATTCCAATTTTGTATCTTGCTAGGTTCCGTGATTTTGTGTAACACATTTGTCTGACAGCTAGTAATTTTTTTGTTGTTGTATTTCACACGTTGAGCTGTTTGCTGTAACCCTATTTGCTTGACAGAACTGGAAGGGACCTCTTACGGTCTCCAAATCTCTCACTGTTTCGCGACTTGATGTGATGATGCTCTTTTTGGATTGGTCAATATTTGTCTTAAATGTGTCGCTGCTCCTTCTAGCCTTATTAATTTGAAAAGCTTTCTGGAACATTAAATCGATCTGATCAAACCAGTTTCATCCCTGGCAGTTCTTAGCAACTTGTTTCTGTGTCAGAATTGTGTTTGACTTTAAAGAACACTTCTCTTCTGGTTTCCACCTTGATCTGTTAACAAAGATCAGTTGTTTATTTGTGGTATTTTTACTAAAAACAGAGCTCATGAACTGTACTAGGCAAGCAGATAGGTACACAGAATTGGGAAATGAAGAGCCCAAGTTGAACAAGAACACTTTGCAGCGTTGTACACTGGAACTCAGATGAGGACGCGCCAGGGTGCTGTGCCGTGGCATGGTGTTTTTCTGGCTGTGCTGGAAACAACACTTCTAATAGTGGAAAGGAAACGACGATTGTACTGTGTTAGTGATTCAGTTATCCTGTGGCTAGTACACTAGATCTTTCCTGTTGCTTCAGACTGCAAAACAGTTTTGTGGTCTGTAGTAGATTTTTTTTTTTGGTAGTATTTTTATTCTTCCTTCAGTTTGCAGGGTCACCTTGTTCTATGTGTAGCAATGCCTCTCAACTTTGTCACAACCAAGCTACGTTTTACTCTTATTTTTGAAATAATGATAAGAATGAAAGTCCAAGGCAAGTTCTCAAGACCAGAATTTCACTAATACCTTTTCAGCGTAAGGTCTTTGTAACAGTAAAGTCCTTTCATTGATTCCACAGTTTTATGTAATCTGTAGTGTCGTACTTGAGTTGATAATAGTAAGTTGTGCCAGCCTAAGTCACACTTTTGTTTGCAAAGAACTCATTTTCTTGATAGAATATACTAAAACTATTAGCTGAACGTGGAGAAGTATTGTGTTTTGCTCAGTCTTGAAAATTATTGCTGAAGTCAGACAAATTGACCTACTTGACAGAAAATCCTTCTTAAATGTGGTACCGTTTTTTGTTGCACAAGTGAGATGTTTTAATGATTCAGATAGCTTGAATAGTGTTTTTAAGCACCACTTCTTTGAGAGCTCAGAGTTGCAAGTGTTTTTGAGTACTGCTCTATTTTTGAGAGTTTCAGTTCTAATTGAAATGCAGTGTAAGTCAAGACACTGCCTGTAGCTAACAACCTTGGAAAAGTTTCGGTCACTTTTTTGTGGTCTAGGTGTTTGTCTTGTCTGTGAGCCTGTCCCTCTCTCTTAAAACAAATCTGAATTGTGAACTTCATGTACCAGCATTCTTTCCACAATGTAAGTAGAGGAGTGCAACATCTGCTCTTCAACCCCATTTATAGCTTGTTCTCAAAAGCACTAAATGCCAGATGCAGTGGATTTTGTTAGGTTTTTGGCTTCTTGGTGTTTCACAGTACTGCTTCTTATCTCCCCTCATCCAAACTTCACATACATGGTAGGTGAACAGACCACAAGTATTTGAATAACCGCTGTTTCAATGCCATCTTGCAGATAAGTTTACTCACTTCCCATGGAAAATCAGAATTTAGGCTTCTTTTGGCTTTCACATAAATAAAACAAAAGAACTCTATATGAATTAAGTGTTCATGAAAAATAACGTCTTCTCTCAAGATGGAGTGTGCTTAACTAAATACTTTTTCTTTGAAACTGCCTTAGTTTGACATACTCATCCAGGATTGTTGGACTCTAGCAGTTAAATTTCGTACTGCAGATAGAAAGCAGATGAGAGGTGGGAGGGGCTTTTAGTGATTCTATGTTAGATGCATTCGTCCTGGGTAACGTTACTTATTTCTGCAAATATTGTAAGTGGGAAGTCTGTAATGGTAAGCGTAGGCTAGTCTTTGCTGCTTGTGGGACCTTTTTGTCTGTTGTACATGAATCGGTAAGACTTTCAGCGTCTTTGTAGTTCTGCCACTATACATAGAGTAAGTTTTAAACACAGCAACCTACATATGCATTTAATTGCTTGTGTATTGGGTATTAAGGATAAACATTGGAGTGCATGTGTGACTTCATCCCTTTATTTTGCAGTTTTGAAGTGATAAAAGTTATCCATGGCAAGTTATTGGATATGGTGGGAAAAGTCCAGTAAGTAGTGACACTTTCATCTCATTTCATTGCAGGCATGTTACTAGTACTTTGTTCAGTATACTGTAACTGTTCTGAAGTTCTGAACTTTCTTTCACAGAATACCCATAATGCTGGTTGGAAATAAAAAAGACCTGCATATGGAACGGTATGTGAACTCCAGTATGTGTGAAATGCAAGACAGCAGCCGGAATTCCTGTGGCTGCAATGCGCTAGTTTTGTTCTTGGCTTTCTGTAACTAAAATCAAATTGTAGGTTAAAATAAGGTACTGGCAAAGGAATTGTGTCCAGAATGTGAACTAAGAGCCATGAACTTTTGTTGTAATGTTGACTTTTGCTGTAAGGTTCCAGGGACAGTCATTTAATGCTTTGGGTTTTTTTTCAAAACAAGTAACAGAAGTGGTTTTTACAACTGTAAAATATCAGATGATAGTACAGACTATGAAAGCAAAGCAATACTTTGGGACAACGGCTCTTCTGGGTAGTATAGCAGTTTTACCTGGCCCAGTAGTGTATTTGACAGCAGCCAAGAGCAAATGCTCTGGATCAGACTTCACAGAACATTCCTGTTACATGCATTTATGTGCTTCAGTACTCTGAGGTCTTTCCTGACGTATCAAATTCCAATTCTGTTGCAAGTTATAAAGAAACATACTTCTTTTTTTTTTCCTTTGGTCAGGGTGATCAGCTATGAAGAAGGGAAAGCTTTAGCAGAATCCTGGAATGCAGCTTTCTTGGAATCTTCTGCTAAAGAAAATCAGGTAACGGATTTAAGATTCACTTTATTCAAACAGCAATGTAATGGAATGAGTCATAGTTTCACTTAAAAGAGGGAAGCTAAAATATTTGCATGTACTCTACAGATATTTTGTGTCCATGGTTGGAAACAAAATGGCTGTTTGCATTCAGGTTTATGTATACAAGTTTTTCCATGCAACTGTAAATGGAAGGAGGAAGTGAAGAACTGAAAGTTAAGCTTCACTGAGCATAGCAGAAGACTTAGTGACAAACTAAAACTCAGATCCATGTGGCGAGTGGAACAGGGTCTGTGATCTGCTGCAGTTACCTTAATAGGAGGTCATTGCGGTTGCAGAGGAGTGAGTTGGTATAAGGCGGCGAACCTTGCGTTTCAAGGTGCTAGGCCAGGCTTGGTCTCTCTAACGTGGGGAATAATTGTTTTGTGGGTCTATGGTGGGGGAGCAAACAGAAAAATGTTAGAATACAGCAGAGCTGTCAGACAGTACTGTGATACAGCTGTAGTGAAGTTGCACAATCTGATGCAATATAACCCACACATATTTACGGTTCTTGGCTTCCTATCACAGAAACGAAGTGTTTAATTATGTGTTAAATAACATCTTATTCTTGGTTGTTCTAACTAACTTTCTTTAAAATGCCTCCTAAATATGTTCTGGTATTTAAATTTGTTCCTGTGGCTGTTAATAATACTTTGTCATTGATTTGACACCTTGTGTATCTAAGTTATAAGGGCCTTCTAGTTTGGGCTTAAAGTAATGGATAACTGCTGCAGACTCGGAGGGGAAATGTCTTTTTCCCTCGTCTCTTTCTTTCTATTTTTTTCCTCTGTAGGTCTCAACAGAGTCAAAACTTTTGCTTTTTGAAAACATAGAGATATGATAAGGTTGAAAGGACATTGTCAGGCTACTTTTAAACAGATGAGTCCTTACACAGAAGAAATGTCTCATATTTAAGCTAGCAGATCACATCCTTGGTCTCCCTGATAACATCAGCACAATCAAAAGGGCAATCCTATAGCTAGGACAGGACCTATTTCAGCAGCCTTTCTTTCCCTCACCTCCATCCTCAAAAGCAAAACAAATAGCTTTTGTCTGATGTCAACAATTCTACAAGTTACTTGAGTAAAGATGCATTTTCCCTGGAAGCAGAATTAGGATTTTTTTCTCCAAATATGGAACCCTTAGAGTTAGGTTATCAGTACTTCTGTTTGTGGCTAAGACTTGCATTAACCTTGTCAAAATTGGGCATGATGAAAGCATGAAGCTTCTCAATGTCTTCTCTGTACTACCGGAGAGCTTCAAATGCTTATCCAAGGAAACTAAATCAACAGTGTAAAGAATAAACAAGTTAAAAGCATCTGATTCTCCCGCCCTTTCGTTTTAAATGACTTCATACTTCTGGATTAGGCAAGGCTATTGCCTGTACTTTTTTGGCATATGTTAGCAACGTGTAACAACATAGCAATTCATATCTAGCACAATATCTTACTGGTAACTTTTCTGGGGTTTGTATCATTCTTGGTTCAAGAAAAAAGAAAAGTATATGTTTAAGCAAAGAAGCTACAGGCTTTTTATGATGCTTGGGCCTACCAGAAAGCTGGGGAGGGACTTGTTACAAGGTCATGGAGTGATAGGACAGGGGGCAATGGCTTTAAACTGGAAGACGGAAGATTTAGACGAGATACTAGGAAGAAATTCTTCACTGTGAGGGTGGTGAGGCAGTGGCACAGGTTGCCCAGAGAAGTTGTGGCTGCCCTATCCCTGGCAGTGTTCAAGGCCAGGTTGGATGGGGCTTGGAGAACCTGGTCTGGTAGAAGGTGTCCCTGCCCATGGCAGGGGGTTGGAACTGGATGGTCTTTAAGGTCCCTTCCATCCAATCCAAACCATTTTGTAATTCTGTCTTAGATATTAAATTGCTGCACTAACAAAGTCTCATTGAGTGCCATGTGTTTGTGTCTGTTCCTTAGTCTCAGACTGTCTGTTTTAAGTTATGCTGCCAGCTGAATTTTAAATAGCAAACTATGTAGCCTTCAGGGAAATTGGAATGGTAGTTGTGTGTCAGATATTCAAAATTCTATAGAGTCCTGTGCAAATCCCCCAGAAAAACAGAAGTTGTGTTCATTCTTGCTGTCAGAGGTGTTCTTACCAGGTCTTCCTTTCAGCGGGATCCTTCAGAATAGTGATTGCAGGTTGCTGTAAATTCTATCCCTCTGGATTTAGACGCAGGTTGTTAGAAACGGGTGCTTGAACACAGTCCCTCCTTCATGCCTCTTACATAATACACTTGGTAAAATTGTCTGGCTTCAGAAGTTTGGGAGATCATATGTCACTTCTGAGATGGGTGCCCACAGCATGTGACCATCTTTCAGGCTCTCTGGCGTGCTTCCTTTGGAGGCTTGTAATGTATGGAAGAAAGTGTGAAGGAGCCCAAAACTGGAGCAGCTGCCTTAGTCTTCTCGCAAACGGTTGTGGAGGTTTGCTGTCCTCTGAAGAGGTGGAAGATTGGGCTTTGAGAGCAAAGTGTGGAGTCCAGAGCTGTGAGGTGCTATGGGGAACAGGTGACACCAGGCATTGTAGCATCCCTTCCTATGGGTTAGACCAGGAGCACTTCTGAACTCATGCCTTTTTTTTTGGCTCCAAATCCTAATTTGACAGGTTCGAAACAATTGATACATAGACCTCTATCAAGACAGGATATCCTCTTACTCTGAAACTGTCTCTGGTTTGCAGGGGGAAAGGGTTTATTCTGAGCTTAGTAACAAGGTGTGTTGTCATTGTCCTGGTACTGAATGCACAACTTAGTAAGTCAATGTTACGGGAAAAAGAAGTCTATGAGCACTTTTTGCGTGGAGGTTCATCCAAATTATCACCTGTACTGACTTGGTACAGCAAATGTAACTTGCTTATCAAGATTAAGTCTAAAGTCCTTCCAAAACTGCTTCAGATTCTTTTTGCTTTACAGAAAGCTAATTTGATGCTTAAAGGGATGAGCTGAACTGGATGGGGAATTTAGAGTTTAAGAACTTCGACAGAGAGCTCAAACCTTCCTGACTGGGGGAAGTCTGTTAATCCGGTCTCTCTGAAACCTAGCCATCTGTATTTGGTGGATGGTGGAGCAAAAGTATGACAATTTCTAGTATGCTGGTCTGAAATTGGTTTGGTATGTCATGTTCTTTGCAGCAGTGAGGAGAGTAGGTCTCCTTGCTACAGGGGTCAGACCAAACTCGATCAGCTGTGTGGTCTATCTTTTGTAACAGCTCTGTTTGCAAAGAACTGCTGAAATGAGAGAAGATCCTCCATGTAACAGGTTCTGAAGCAAAGGCTCTTTTCCCCCTACAAGGAGATGAGAGAGCATTGACTCCTCCTCTTTCCTGCTTTGGCAAAAAAAAAAAAAAAAAAAAATCCTTTTTGGAGTGCCTGTGAAAGTCCTAGGAGCATAGCCCTGCTATATTGGGCAACTAAAATAGTTCTATAAATTAGCTTCAGCAAACTAGACCTGTTCTGCCAGGAGTTATCAAAAGATACTACATGCCAGAAATGGCATGACTTTGAATAGATGGAAAGCGAGAGGGGCAAAGATCAAAGCTGTGGTGATGATAAATGGTAGCAGCTGGCAAGAGTTCAAGGTCAAATATATTTGAGGCTATTTATCAGCTCCTCCAGACCTGGTAGGACTTTCGGAGGAGCCTGCATATCAGCAACACATCAGTCATCTAGGGAAATCCCTCGGCTTTGAGAACGCAATTCTGAGACTTAATGGAAAAGATCTCTTTTAGATTACTGCAGAGCTATTATTGTCATATCTTTTCAAGCTGCTTAATTACTACCAGATATGTTGAACTGCTTTGGCTACCTTCAGGAGCTTTGAGCCTTTCTTGTGGAATTCCCTACTTTGTTTCACCTAAGCCATAGTATAGTGCTTCGTCTTAATCCCAGTACAATAAAGTGGTAACTGTTTGAAATACAACCAGAATCCAAATTGGTCTTAAAGCAAGTTGAAACTGGGAGCCAACTTTTACTGGAAGAATTTTGGGAGTAACAAGCAGCCAAATTGTGTCCATCCAGTTACACATAATTCATTAGATAAACTTGTTTTAGAAGGAGCAAGGAAGTAGCAAAAAATCTACTTCTCTGCCAAAACGGAGCTCTCTTAAAAAGCAATTGCTTGAGCATTGCTGCTTTTTCAAGAGCACCTTCATCTTCAAGCTCAGAAGATGCAGTGCTCAGTAAATGCTTCCGAGTGGTTTGGGATCTTGGCCCCTTTCCAGGGGTCTGACATGTTTACCTGGGAGAATGTGTTTGGACTGGCAAAGCATGGGGGAAAAAACCCCCTCTCTTCCTTTACCTGACTATTGTTCAAGTTCCTTTGCCCAGTTCCGTGCCAAGATAAACTAGTAGTATGAGCAGTTGAGCGTTTCCTCTTTGAAATAATAAAACAGTCGCATAGTTGAAAAATACAGCATACCAAAGGATGACTCTGGCGGCAGTGGCCTGGATTTGGGTGTGTGCCCCTTCCTGCGCTGGCTCCTGGCAGCGTGTTCCCGACTCCCCGCTCGTGCAGAGAGAATTGCCCGTCCTGAGCTATCTGTCCTGCTCACACCCAGGGGCACATCTGCAGAAGCAGTTGAGCTTCTGGTATCTCTTGCACGGTGCTAAGCTCTCGAGGCAGCATGTCTTGCCCAGGCTGACATCTATTTTGTTTCCTTGGGGGAAGAAAGGTAGAAGAAAGCCAGATGGCTTTCTGTAGGCTAAGTGTGACCCACATTCTGTAATTGGACCATATGGAGACAGATGCATGTAAAGTCTGGCTGCGTTCTTTATTCCTTGTCACAAAACACAGCGTCCTGCATTGTTTAAAGGCTCATTCTAAATTTCTTCAGCATATTGGGGCTGAATTACAAATTCCTAAGCGTTAACTATAGGACTGTGACTAAACCTTCTTGGCGAATACATATTTTCTGTGAAATGAATTAACAAGCCCTGTGAACTCCTACATCTTTGTGTTTCAAACAGCATGCCTTTGACAGAGCATGTACAGCTTCTTGGTTGACAGCGTAAGTTCTGGAGGGTTTTTTTAATGGATGCTTTGAAGCAGCGGTATAAAGAACTTGTGCATTAAAATGAAACCATTGAAAATGTCAACTCTAAGGAAATGTTGGTGTGGTGTATTTGTAAATCAGTATATCCCTAAGTTTTGATTAAGGGAAGCTCTTCATTAGTGGAACCAGTTTGATAGCAACTGCAGTCCAGACCATGGTTCTCCTGGAGTCTAATTTGCCCGAGAAATGTGTTGTATCATTACTGGGCTAATGAACCGCTTCTGTCAGATTGTGTTGGGATTGCAGGGAAACTCCATTATACGGAGGAATACTCTTTGTTTTCAGCTGATGAAGTATTTTAAATAGTTCCAGAGATAGTACTGTGCACAAATGGTATAAATATGGGAAACTTTAAAATTCAGTCTAATCTTGTTAAGACTGCTTTAAGATTGTGGGGCTACTTCAGTCAATGGGATTGATTTGGAAGTGATCCGATTAAGAATTACACCTTGTGGAGGCGGAAAAAACATCTATCGAATCAGAACACAGTCATAAATCACAGGGTGCTCTTCAGCCTGCTGATTAAAACCAACAAAACCCCCTTTTTATCCTCTTTCATAATGTGACTGCTTTTATATAACGAATATACTTTCCTTCTTAAGGAGCATGTGCTTGGAATTCATGGAATGGATGGCTGGAGGTTAGATAAACTTAAAATGACATGTCTGAGATGATAGGAGACCATTTCCAAGTTGAAGATTCACATGCTGAAGTACTGATCATACAGTGAACCTTCAGCTCGAAAATACCATAGAGAAGAAAAGCACATTAGGGTTGTCCTTAACTGTAGTATAGATTTATTCTTCTTAAATTACTTGCAGGCGGTCTCAGATGCTGCATGTTGTAGTTTCTGCATATTCTGGTGAAGGTTAGTGTGTAATTTTGAAACCCTTAAAACTGAGTGAATCCTGAAAATACCAGAATAACACTGTAAGGTATTCACTATAAGTAGCATTCCTGATGTTGTCCCAGACACCTTACTCTCCCCATCTTTCAGTATCCTTAAAAACAAACAAACAAAACCCCACCAAAAATCTAACTACTCTTAATCAAATTCTTCCGTAAAAGTCTTCTGAATCACTCAAGCAGTCTGACATCTTTTCTTAGTGTCTCTGTTTCAGTTGAATTTGTTTTCATGGGAAATTGTGTCTTGCCGTCCCAAGATTTTCAACTTGTACTCACTAGCATGTGTGTGGCTGGGGAAGTATCACCCTTCTGAGCCCATGCACTCCGTTTCATCGCCTGGAATTGAAGTAGGGGAGAGCCTTTTTCACCGGACTGCTTTACGCTCAGGGTGGAGGGAGGAGACTCGGCACAGACCAAGCGGAGTCGATAGCAGAACAAGAGACTCCTACTCTGAGAGTATTTGCTGCCTTCCCTCTGAAGGAGTGACGGGATCCATAGTGCACGTGTGACTCGCGATTTTGCAGAGGGACTCTGTAATCCTGTATGTTCCATACAGTAAGCTAGGATGGTTGTGCGAGCCTGACCGTGTTAGCAATGGCTATCCTAGAGTTCAAGCTATTTAAAATATAAAACCCCTTTCTCTCAGAAGGACTTTATCAAAGGATATTGCTTAATATTAGACAACGGCTACTTTGGCTTGTGTTTTCCCCTTGTGCTGTTGCCCATGTCCAATACTGGTCTTACCTATAGGTAGGATGAGAAAATCAAGAATATTAAAGTAACCCTCATACTGGGCTGTGCAGTCAGTGTTTATAGAGCTGAAAAATCTGCCACCTTCTGTAATTACTCAGAATAGTAAAGGTTACTTAGAGGAAATGAATTGGTTTATTCTCTGGAGCAGCACAGCATCAAAATCTTCAATGCTGTCAGTCAGGGAGTGCAAGCTTACTACATAAAATAAAGCCAAATCACAGTTACTAGCTGTGTTGTGAGTAGGGCTCAGTTTATATCTGCCCTCCCTGCAGTGACAGAGAAAATAGTTGAGGATTGCTGTGGAATAGGGGTGTACGCTTTTCAAAAAGTTGTGTTCAAAACTGAAATTACCATATTTTCCCTCTTCGATTTTTTGGAATAAGCGTTAGATGTGCATTTATCTGCTGGTGTAGCCAGTAAAACTGCTAACATTGTTTTTAATTATTTTTTTCAGTAAGTGGGCAGTTTCTCCTTACCTACTAAAATTGTACTCTCTTTGCAGACTGCCGTTGATGTTTTTAAGAGGATAATTTTGGAGGCAGAAAAAATCGATGGGGCAGCTTCACAAGGGAAGTCTTCATGCTCAGTAATGTAATTCCACTGCAAAACCTGAAAACACTGGGAATACATTCTACCTGAAGAAGCAAAACTGCCCATTATCTTTAAGGATAAACTATGCTTCTTTTTTTATTTTTATTTTTTTTTCTTCTGTTAACCTGAAAGATAAACAGTTTGTTTGGAGCCTTTCCCTTCAGATTATGTTAAACTCTGACTCCTGTGCAAATGGCTTCACTTCCATTTTCAAATTTTAAGCAATCATATTTTCAATTTATATATTGTATTTCTTAATATTATGACCAAGAATTTTACTGGCATTAATTTTTCAGTGTAGTTTGTTGGTTAGAATAATCATCAAAATGATGCATATTGTTACACTACTATTAACTAGGCTTGGATATCAGTGTTTCTTTGTGTTAAATGTATACTTGTAAATAAAATAGCTGCAAACCTTAAATGTTTTGTTTATAATTTTTTGTTGATTACTCCATATCAACTGTTTTTTGTGGAAAAATGTTCACCTGCTGACCTTAAGAGGAGGCGTGAGATCGTTGGAGCCAATGGATTGTTTGACTATTGCTTGGGAAGCTGTTGGCGAATGATCCCAACCGTTTTTGCTACTACAACTCCAGGCTGGCCAAGCAGCTCGGCCGTGCTTTGTGCCCGTTCATGGGAAGGAGACACAAGTGACACCTTTGATTTGGAAGGGAAGGCTTGGGTTTTCGGTCAGACAACCTGTGCTGTATTTTTCCTCTGTAACTGTTAAGAGTCGTGGAGTAAAAGGATGCACAGATCTGTCCCAAGTAAGGGGTCAGAATACACCTGCGCTACAGACTGTTCACGTGGACTTGTAACTGGGACACTGTCAGGATGGAGTGGATTTATCCAGGTCACAAGCGTAGACTTGCTAAGAAAACAAAAATGTCATTTAAAATAAATTGCACGTCCTAAACAAATTGATGTGGGTTGTTTATCGTGCATTTCTGTACTCTTGCATCTGGATAGCACTGGTAGAGCTCAGTGGTCTCCTGGCACCTGGCTGTTCACGATGTCAGGGTCCCAGCACAGCTCTGGGCAGCTTCCCCTAACCAGTTGCAAGTTTTTGCTTGGCTCTTAGGCTAGAGGCTTAGCAAGCCTTCGTCTCTAAGACTGGAAACAAATTACTTCAACTATATATTTAAAAAAATGTGCAGTTGACCTACTCTGTATTCAAAAACAAACCCCAAAACATCAACAAAACCAGACAAAGCTGATTTGGGGAACAGTTAATTAAGTGAATTGTTTTGAGAAAACATTTTTGTGTCAATTTGAAAACTTCATTTCTGGCGGGAGTAAAATGGAGGGGAAACTTGTAATGTTTTTGCAGCTGGAATTAGCTTTTGCATTTCAGTCTGTGCTAAAAGATACAAATTCAGCATCTCATCTTTTCACCTTATATTATACAGAAAATGGTCTAAACCCCTCAATTAACAGTGTACGTAGAAAAACTTACTGTGTTCTTTGGTCACCATGAGCTTAAGTGGCTTCCTAGCAAAAAGAAGTTGCCTTTTTTTTGTCTATTTAGGATATTTCCCAAAGTTTCTGAAAACTCTTTTTTGTTACCTGAATTTTCACACCCTATGCCAAATACAGGTTCTGTAGCTGGATGATTGTCATGCATGATGGATTGCTGAAGTTCAGCAAAGTCAGAGTACTCATTCAGGGGAAACCAGTACAGGCTTTGATTTCAGAATCAGACTGATCCAGGGCTGTGCAGTAGGTTTTCTTCACAAGAACCTGCAACACTGGAAGGATAGTCATTTGGCTGATAATGAAGTTGCTGAGGATTCAGAAAATGATCGGTGGAACACAGGAACAACATGCATCTGTTTGGTAGTATCCTTCGTTGCCTAATCATGAGGTGGTAGATGACTTGTATGACCAGAGTCTGTGGCACTGCATCATGGACACAAATGTTGTGGGGGCTACATCCCATGGCAGAAGTTCTGGAATACCAGAAACCTCAATGACCACCTTTACTCAAGTTTTTTTGTAAAATAGTGGCCACGTGTACTGGTGATCAATCTGAAGCCTGAAATTGGTGCTTGAGGTGTACCAACTGCTAGGGCTTTAATGGGGATGGATGAGGAAATGTGCAACTTGATAGTCCTGGGAGAACAAGGCCCTACCTTCCAGGGGTGACACTTTTCAGGAGGGCTTAAAGGCACGTGCAAGTTCTCTGGATGATTTGCAATGGGAACTTCCAAGGCTTCATGTGCTCAGCACTGAGAAGCATGTGCTGCTCTTAAGTTTTCTGTAATAGCTGAAGAATTGAACTCAACATATGTTGTTTCCTTTCTCCTGTTGCTGGCTTACCCAGTAAGAAATGTAAATTATTCCACTCGTTTAATAAGATCTAAAGACCAGCCGTGTGCAATAGTCTTGCAGTTTTCATGAAATGTATAGTCAAGCATGATCAGTGAACTACTTCTCCGTTGCTGTACAGAGATTTCAGTTGGCTTCTCAGGATGGTTGGAGTCCAACGGACTGGGGCAGCCTCGTGCTTCCACACACTGACCGAAGAGCTGGCACGGGTTAGGTTTTTCACCGTGAGAGCCCTAATAAAATGAGGTGGTGGGCAATCTTGGAAGCCCTATGTTATGTACAGAAGCAAGAAATCAGTATTTAGCAAACAGCTGCTTGCCTAGAATGGGTGAATTTATACAGCCTTGGCTGGCAGCTGCCCTGATCCTTCGGAGGCTTCTGGAGGATTGTGATAAATGATGCGTGGATTAAAAGGAAAGTCACGAAGGACATAAATTCTCTGTCCCAGGCTAGAAAAAATTTGATGCACACTTAATAGGGCCCACCCTTATTCTTAAGGGATGAGCATTAGCAAAGGTGAGACTGCAAAAATCCTTTTCCTGTTGAGGAAATGAGGAAAATGTAACTACCGTAAGTCAAGTTAAATTCCCGTTGACTTGCCTGGATTTAAAATGTGCTGTTCTGGAAATGACGCCTGCCTGCCTGCCTTGTGCTCCTGTCCAACTCCTTGCTTTGCTGCGTGAATACCGAGAATGCTCTCGGTATCCTGAGCCCAGGAGACTGAGCTGCCCATCTCCAGCGTGGTGGGCATGGAAATGCTGAGGAGGAGGAGGAAGGTGGTGGGGCAGGTGCAGCTCAGCAAGTGGAGGACGGACTGCAGGCAGAAAGTGGATACGTGGTCCTTCTTTTTTCCTGTTGTTTCTCTGCATGGCAAAGTTTATCTCTGCCCGATTAACTCCACAACGGGGAAGGCTTGGAGACGGTCTGCTTTGGGGCTGTGGAGTCTTCTGCCTAATGCTCTTCCCAGCTTCCTAAAGGGTTGGTGAATGCTCGCTGGAGAAGAAAAAGCTGGAAAAATGTTTTTACTGCTCTCTTGTGTCTGCAGTTGCTGGATTGTAGTATCTGGACCAGGCAGCCTTGTGTCGGTTCTCAACCAAGGGCAGAGGAGCGTGGGCTGAAATTGGACTTTGCTGAAGAAGTTCTTGCAGCATTGGAGGCAATGGTGAAGACTTCAGGCTTTCCATTTTCTAGTTTCTTTGAACAGAGAAGTTTCTGTGTCCAAACTTGCACCCTGAAAGTAATCAAGGACAACTTTTGCAGTTACCCTTGTTTCTGGCACAGGTGAGTGTAAAACATCCAGTTGGGTCTATGCCAGCTTGCAGTAGTTTCCCTTGAAGTGCAAGACGGGCAGCAGCCTGAAATGAGAAGAGTGGCCTATGTCACGGTGTGTATTTTTGTGTTTTCACCTTCTTTAAAAGAAATGTGCGATCTTACACCTTTGTTGCTGAAGAATTTGTGCTGCTACTCCGTGCAGATGTCGCGCTGCACAGCAGCCTGTAGTGTGGGTGGTAACGATGCACCTGGGCTTGCTGGGCTTATCGTGCTAATTAGCACTGCTGTGCTGTAGCCTCTGGAGAAGGAGAAATCAACAGGTTCTAATTAGTCCTTATGTAATCAGTACTGCTCATCTTCAGAGCATTTCCCTAATACTGACTAATCTTCACAACCTTATCTAATAAGGTCAAAATTACCCCCCTTTGACAGCTGGGGAGGGGGAGTGAGAACCTTTGAACAGATGCCTTCAACTCCTTGTGGGCACGGCGGAAATATGACTAAACTAGGTCTGGGTGATGGGTGTCCTCAGCATCCAACTCTTTCTTATGTGTCCTATTTCCCTACTGGAACCTTTCCTTTTTGAAATAAGATGGAAACTGAAAGGATTTCACCCAAAAGCCCGGGCTTTCTGATGTTTTCCAAAATGAAATCCAAGTTCCATCTCAGTCAGATGCTTACTGGGACGTGTGATCAGCTGCAGTAATACTGACTAATTAGTGGAAGGTGTCCCTGCCCATGGCAGGGGGGTTGGAACTGGATGATCTTTAAGGACCCTTCCAACCAAACCATTCTATGGGTCTATGACCCCTAGAAAGAATAATACTGAAAACAAGATTTTGCAGATTTTTTTTCAATATCCATCTCTGTAATGCTGCTAATAAATACTTGGCTAAACCTGACCAGCAGGTCCCACCTCCAGGGTGAGGAGCTATTTTTCTTAGTAGGAACCTGGCTGGATCTGAACCATCATTCTGTGATAGGATTTGGTCAGGTAGAGAAGGTTTTTTGGAGTCTGTACTTCACATGGGACAACAGGAGGTCTTGTGTGTTGGGATGGGTGATGGGTCAGGGCATGGAATGGCCACTCTTGGGAGAGATGTTGCATAGACTCTTTGTCTTGGTGCATCTGAGATGAAGACAATGTGTTGAGCCCAAGACCATCGCCTGGCTCTGGGAGGCAGCACGTGGTATCCCCAGGCACGGGGAAGCGGTTAATCACCAGCAGAAGTCAGTGCTTTGGCAACTGAGGCAAGGTGGGCTTGGTCTTAATGGGGCAATGTGGATTTAGTATAGAAACTCTCCCTTGAGTCGTAAGGATGGTTTCTCCTCCTGAGGTCTGTTGGTGCTCTGAAGTGGCCCACAAGATGTGCTCATCCTTTTCAGCAGTGAGCCAAAAAATTTTCCATGGGAAGGAGCTAGACCCATGGTTGTTCCATAGCCAACCAGCTAGAAGTATCTCGCACTAAGGTACGTGAAGAAATCTGTCGGCTTTTTTTAAGCAAGATAGCCTTTTCAATGCCCTGAGATACAGATGTTTCCTGTGCCGGGTTTTATGGTGCTTTGCAAATACTAAAAACTCCTCCAGAAGCTGGATCGTGACCTTTTCAGAAGATGCGGTGCAACTCCTTGGCTGTTGCTCACTTAATTATTATTTGTGTGGGGTTGTATTGGCTGTAGTGGGTGCCTCTGAGCAGAATGCTAATCCTGCTTTGCCTCTCCTGAGAAATACCACTGTTAGCATTAGTGAGGTCACTCCCAAAGATTCACCTCCAGGAGTCACACCCGGCTCTCTTCAGGAAATCTGCGTCAGAGAAGGAG